GGAAGTAACAAGAAGCAAACCTCAGAAAATGTCAAGGAAGCCGTTTTCTGCTTTTTACGACTGGCGAAAATAATTGCCGTTACAGATTCACTAGCATTTGTAGCCAATGGCAATGCAATAAACGAGATGAAGAATGTCGGGATGCCTGTTGCATCTGAAAAATCATCAACGGCATCTACCAGTGGATCAGCAAATGCAGCAGCAATAAGAGTTCCCAGCAACAGCATTAGTACTGCTTTGAAGGAGGTCCACCTAGGATTTTCAACATCACCTACAACCTGATCACTTTGTTTCCCATCAGCACCCAACAGATCTTGTTCTCTCTTAGTTTGCTGCATATGAATTTACAAGATGTCAACCGATAAAAGTAAAACCCCCAGATAATCATCAGTTTTCAACTTACCTCCTGAAAACCTTGTATAAACTTGGATGTTCGAGGCCCAGGACCAGTTGAAGATCCCACAACTCGCTTTGCCTCATTAAGCCACTTTGAAATACCAGCTACGAACTCATCCTCACTAATAAAGTCGTCATTGGAGGTATCAAAATCTTTAATAATTTTTTTTACAGTATCATCTTTATCAAAGTCTATCTCCTCAAACCGGATTCCCATAACAAACGCTTTTAGTTCAATATCTGAAAGGCAACCATCATGATTCTCATCAATTGCATGGAACAACCTGTCATAGAGTTAATTAGCAAAATTAGTAACTTCTTTACTTGCAGGGAGAAATCATAGAAAGAATGTCCTTTTATGCAAATGTGCAAGACTGACTTTTTTATGACATATACATTAGGTTCCCCCTCATCACTCAGTAGCCTTCCTAGAGCACGCTGTTTCAAGTTCAGTAGGATTCCCGATATCACACGCCTGTGCTTTACATATTCTACTCGTCTCTGCTGGATCCAAGGCTGAAAGACCTGCACAATGCATTTATAACAAAGAATGAAAGAAGAGTCAAGCATTGTCAATAATCTAAGTAGTTTAATGGTAATCTTCTTTCAATGGAAGTAAGGAATTTTGAATTTGAATCATATGACATGTGCGTGAAGTAAGTTAAGGTATTAGAGAGAGTTGCCTCCTATTATGCAGCTCAAGATTAAAAAGAAAAAGAAAAAAAAAAAAGAAAAAAAAAGAAGGGTCAAGCACCAATGAAAAAGGCTTAAAGGAACTAAAGCATTGAAATAGAAATGGAAAATGATTTGTACACACTCGGTTCAACATATTTTTTGACACATTTCTAGTTTAACCATTAAAATATATAATATAAATACAGTTGATTTAACCGGTTCCTACATCCTATGTCCATGATTATATTTTTAAATTTATCTGCCTTTAATTTCAAACAAAAAAAAAAGTGATTTTTTAATAAGCATATTGTGCAGTATGTTGAATCGAAATATATACCCATTACTGTCCAATAGAAATAGAAGAAAGATCCAAGAAGACTACCCACATGATACAAAATAACTACGAACATCTTATATTATAGATCATTGTGATAAACTTATTTTTCCAAGGAATCACAGAGTCTAAAAGCCCTAGTCACCTCATACACCAATCACAAAAGCATAACACGTTAAGCAACAATCCTTATCCTGAATGTTGAATACCACCGTGCAAAGAACAATCCACACATC